CCTCCGGTTTTCCTTCCCTCGAGGCTAATCCGCCTCCAGGCCCCTCTAGCTATTATGATCACACTGGTCAGATGCGAACTAACGCAGCTGCCTTTGCTCATCAGGCAGGCCATCCTAGTGGCGGTTACTATGCTCCCCAGCCCTCTACCAACTATGGTCTCTACTTCAACCAGCCTCCTATCAACAATGCCCGTACCGAGCACCTTGGATACAGCGCTGCTGCCGGCGGTTATGACCGAAAGCGCACCTACGACATGGTTGACGACTTCTTCGGCAGCGCCAAGCGTCGACAGATCGATCCTTCGTCCTATGCCCAGATTGGCCGTTCCTTGATGCCCCTCCATGGCAACCTCTCAGTCCCCAACGGTCCTATGACTGCTACCGAGCAGTACATGCCTCAACCTGCTCCCGCTCCGGTCCACGCTGGTCCTACCCCTAGCCAGAACCCCTTGGCTCAGCAATACTACCTGCCAATGCCCAGCGCGCGAACTCAGAAGGATCTCATTCACATCGACACCATTCTTGGCCAGATGCAGGACACTATCTATGAGAATGCCAACCACGCTACTGCTGGTGTCCACATTCACCACGCTGAAAACGGCTTCAACGGGTACCGCAACACTCCTTCGCCTCCTACCTCTCACAGGTCTCCTACCGGCATGCATGTCGGAGCTGACGGCTACCAGCCTGTGTCTGCCGCTAGCATGGCCTCGCCTCTGACGGCCATCTCATCTACCGGCACTCCTGCTGTTACACCGCCCTCCAGCTCCATGTCGTACACATCTGGTCACTCACCAAGCCCATCATCCTCTGCCATGTCTCCTCAGTCCCGCCACGGCTCGACTGCCTCAGTCATGTACCCCACCCTCCCCACAAGCCTCCCTGCTGTTAGCCAGGGCTTCGGCCACTCTGCCACAACTACTCTTGGCCCTAGCTTTGACGGCAGCGAGCGTCGCCGCTACTCCGGTGGTATGCTCCAGCGAGCTCGTGCTGGCCCTCTGCCTCTGCCTCACGAGGACACCAGTGGTGCTTCCACTCCCAAGGCTAGCGAGTCTGCTCTGTCTGTTGGCTCTCCCTCTTCAGAGTCCGATGTCAGTGACGCTACCCGTGAGCGTGAGGAGCAATATGACCGCTGGCTCGAGAACATGCGAGTCATTGAGACTCTTCGCGAGTATGTCCGTGGGCGCCTGGAGCGCAAGGAGTTCGTGGAAGACAACGAGTCACCACGATCTAGCCATTCTGACGCTATGGATGTTGACCCCAAGAGCCCTCAAGCTCCTCCCAGAGAACTGGGTACCCCCCGAGAGGGATCCTCTCTGTACCCTATCCTTCGCATGCCTGGCGCTTAGGTCAGTCCTTGAGTCAGCTGCTGGTTTGGCTGTACGTGTACTATTATCGTCTATCATTTTCTCCGCATCAAAGCAATGCGGAATGTTATGTTCACGCGGTTTCAATGTTGATATGAAGTCTGAGCCATTTGGTTCTCGGGTGCTCTGTATTGAGCCTCCCACGATAGCGGCTGGGAAGGGCATATTGTTTAGTTGGTGAAATATAAGGACAGATGCAATGCAATTGACCTTGAGTCGGGGTTTCTTTTTCGTTTTTCTTCTCTTGTCAGCTGCCGCTTGACAATCTTGTAGTCAATCAATGACGGGTTATGAATGATATAGGCAAAAAGGTGGCTCGGTTTTTGAGATGAGGTAGCAGGGATTCTGAGTTATCGAGTACTATCAATGAGAACAATATCAAAAAGTACTGAACAATCTTCCAAGACCATCTTGACTCTCGCAAACATCATGTCTGATGTCATTGATTGCATTTGTGTACGAGACATGTTACTCAATCAATATGAAGCATCGTGATGATGATCTCCGAATATGACCGACAAGCTACACACAGATTACGCACAAAGTACCTACCTCACGCAAGGACACAAGCACTCCACGATCAAAGAAACAATGTAGGACAAGTATTCTCCGATACGTCGTCGTCTCCATTCCAACCAAAAAAGTCGATCCCTGTAGCGAGTCCCGTGCTGACACCGAGGGCTGAAGCAGCGATCTCTGTCGCAGGATACAGCCAAGGACGGCCGTGCTGTGTCGATCACCGTGAAGCTGTGAGAGGACAAACGTCACTTTGTAAGATTTTGTGATTCAGAAGAGCGGACTAACTAGTTTACGATAGATGAACGCATTCTTGTTTGCGGGTGGTGTTTGTTGTTTCATGGATACAACGTGGTTGTGATGCATGATAGTGTTTGTTGCATGCGGATGAGTTGGAACGATATTGGTCTAGCATTTAGCATGTACGGTATTTAGCATATAATTCATTTAGCATATAAAGTAATTGGTTTGTGAATAGGTAGCGTTGCATCTAAGGATTTATAACATTTAGCATATATAAGATAGTATTTAGCATGTAAGATAGAGTATACCCTTTCAGTCTAAGTCAACACAGCTTAAGGAGTATATACATATCTTAATTCATCGATCAAACAGCTTTCCAAAGTTAAATCTACCTACCGACTCCAAAAACAGCCTAAATCGACATGTTTTTACCGCTTAGACTTTGTCAAACGCGAGGCTTCAACGTCAGTCCAGGTCCTGAAACACGCCGGGAAATGAATGACGGCACTTGCATGCACAGAAAAGAGAAAATACACCAAGAGGAAGAATTAGGCCACCAAAGTTAGGATGCGCCCGAGAGTCTCATCTAGATGAAGTCATGGCCGAGTACCTTAGCAGTCCTCGTGAGTTCCCTAGGTCTTCCAGGATTTTGGGCGTATAGTAACTTACTCCTCTTTTAATCTGGTTTGAGGCTGATTCCGTTGGTGAAGGATTCGGGAGGATCAGAAGGTTAATTGTGATTGTCACACATACATGCACATAAGCCACATAAAGTACATAAAATAAACGGCAAATGGCAGTAAATGGAATGGATGGATCCTTTAATTGATCTTCGACCAGGGAAAAAGGGAAGAGGAAGAGGAAGGGACGGGGGCCGTTTCATCAGCCGGTGACGCTTACCCATTTTTTGTTTGTTCTGTCTGGTCTGTTCCTTTGCAGTTGACAAAGTATATTTTAAGGAGCCTGATCCCCTTGTTCCTCGTGTAATTCACTTCAATGCTTTAGGTCTCTATTTATGCCTCGTGTCCTGCCTTGTCCTCCTGTTCAGTGCCTCTATTTTCTATCCTTCTCCTCCAAGTGATTCACCAACAAGCAAACTTGTTCACTTACAGCCTCAACATATATCCATATTCTTCCTCTGACCTACCTACAACTCTTCCGCCAAATCCATCTACTCCTATCAAAACCAAAAACAGCAACTCAACATGCGTTTCTTCGCCGTCGCGGCTCTCCTGAGCGTCGCCCTCGCTGCGCCAGCCTACGACAAGGCCGACGGCACATGCTGCTGCTGCGACATCTCCAAGCCCGCCACAGTCTGTAAGAAAGACGTCAAGCCCGAAGACTGTTACTGCGCCGCCGTCGTGTGTCCCGCTGGTGCCCCTACCATCTGGGCTACCTCATCTACTTCTCCTGCAACCACCACCACAGCCGCTCCCGTTAAGCGCGAGGAAAAGACGCCTGCCCCTGCTGGACCTCCTTGCTGTTGCTGCGACCCGTCAAAGAATGCCATCGTCTGTACCGTGCGTGCCGAAGGCGAGGATAACTCATGTATTTGCCCTATGGTGATGTGTCCCGCTGATGCATCGACCTTGACGGTTTATTCGGCTGCCATGGAGACGGGCAAATAGGGAATAAAATTGAAAAGATGTTGCTCTTCACTTGAAGCCGCAACTTGTTTCAACTCTTCGCTTCTTGATGTACATCCCTAGGGTTTCGGTTTTGATTTCAGTTGGCATAGCAAAGCATGGAGGAGTACCAGAATGGACCAAGTATGGGGATCCCGAGAGAGTCCTGCAAGATAACCTAACATTATCAATCAATAGCATGCTTCTTTGTCTCCAATTGAAAGAGGTCTTGAATCGTGATGCTGTCCGGAGCTCCCGGATCAATACTGTAAAGAAAGCCTGGCACTCTCTACCCAGACTGAACAAAAGATAGTCAAGCCTAATAAAGAACTATCTTTTGACTGACTAAATCATTAACTAGCCCAGTGTTATCTGATTTAGCAGCCGTTCAACTCAACGTCAAGGGGTAGTGTAAGCCGGATAGACGGATGGCCAATCAGAAGCTCTACATACCAAGACATTCGATGTAAGAGGTAATGCAAGGAATGCGGATCTACAGGATTACGATCCGGTCAAATGCTTTACCAACCTGCCAACCTCCCTTCAAATCAGCCTCTGGAGCCAGTCTACGAAACATCACAAAGACTTATTCGTGGGTCACTATGGTACTCAAAATTGTTAGGATAAGAAATTATACACTATCAGCTACAGATAGATATAGTTAGTTGCTACTCCAAAGTGCTCTGTGTCGTATCCCAAGACTCAACCCCATGGAAAATAGGTAATTGTTTTACTCAAAGTAAAAGTGTTTTGCTTCGGTCCATGTTACCCATCAACTGCCAGAGTGATCCAAGGCCTCTCCACGGGGTGCGTCACTGCCACCCCTCTCCGCCTCATGTTTTTTTTTAAATCCATTCATTAAACCCTCTCTTTCCTAGGACCTTGGACCATGGCATTTTGTTTTTGACTGTTCAAGTCGCTTGACGGGAAAGGTGAGGGATCTATATGCAAAAGCATGATGGGGGAGGGGCGACCACTTGATGGGTAGCAATGCGAAAATTAGACCGCAGCGTAAACGGGTATATATATAGTAACGGGTCATGAATAGTGCCGTTGACTCTCCGGTTGCAATGGCAAGGTCGAGCCATGGTAGGCGGGTTAGTTCGCTAATTTTTGGTGGTGGGGAGAAAATTCCCAAATGAAGAATCGTATTCAAAGCTTTGTCGTGACAAGGTCGTCCAGACGGCTCTTAAGATGCATCGCCGGCGACGAACGAAAGGAAAGGGAAGCGTCAAGGAGAGGCATCTCTTTATTGGAATTGAGTACGGTCCTTCTCCTTGAGGCCGCCAATTTGGTCCATGTCGATAGAGTAGAACTGGCCCTTGGCCTCCTTCTCGTAGGCGGGCAGTTGCTCCTCGTTCATGGGTTCCAGTCCGACGGTCGAGTTATCACCAACGCGGACGACGAGCACACGGCCGCTCTGCTGTCGGCCTTGCTCGTCCTTCTCATCGGGGAAGGTGATGTGAATCTCGGGAACGTTATCGGGGGAGTAAGGAGGTGAGTTGGGGTTGGCAAGCATAGGACGGCCGTCCTGGTTGACGACGAAGACGCTGGAGCGACCGTTATGTGTTGTCTCGATGGTGAGGCCGCGGTGGTTGGTGAATCGCTTGCTGTTGCTGTCGTAGTAAGAAGGCAGACCATCCTCCTCGGACTGGATGGTTTGCTGCTTCTGACGACGAGCGCGGCGGAACAGGAAAAGGATGGCGACCAGAATGAGGCCGAGGAAAACAAGGCCGAGGAGGCCAAGCATGAGGTTGATCATGTTGTCGTTTGAGCCATCAGAATCGGCAGGCATGTCAGATCGGGTAACGAGGTTCAAAATAGAAGGCATCGTGAATAGAGTTTGTGGTTGAATGTTACGTAGGTGTAGCAACGGATTTTGAGTTCGTAATAACGATGGGTGCTCCGAGTAGAGAGAACGAATGTAAAGCCAGCAACGTCTATTCATCATCATGTTAGCAAGCCATCATCTCATGGTCATGACCGAAATGCCACCCGGCGAGAGCGACCGAGCCTGTCTGTGGCGGTTGTCAAGTGCATAGTCATCTGCAACGCAGCCTCCAATATTCGCAGCCGACTGCCATTCCGCATCAAGGCCGGAAGAGCCCATCTAGACTGCAAAGTAGACTTGTGTTGGAGGATTGGCCAATTCGAAGCCATGGCGATCCCAACAATTCAATGCATGCCATGACGTGTTGCAGAATGCCAACCCAAACAGACGACTCGATGAAATAAAGGTGGCAGGTGGAGGGTCAGATGGGACAGGATAACGTACGCCAGGGAGAAGATATCGCCAATAGTTCGTCAATGAATGCCTGGCGAGTACCGAAAACCGAGGTGGTTGGTGATGGGCCTAAGATAGTGGGTAGAACGAAGGGAGAGAGAGGGGGGTTGGAAAGACCGGACGGAAATCAGCTGAAAGAGTGAAGCTGAAGATCCAAAAAGCGATTGAGAACAAGATGTACTGGGAGCGAAAAAACGATGCCGACGACGATATTCACAAACTTGGCCCGCGAGGATTGGGTTGGGAAAGAGAAAGAAACAACCACAACAGCAGAGGGAGAGGGTTTTTTGGCTCGGAGCCTGTCCTGAGCTACACTTGATCACGACAGGGGCCCCTGCCCCGGAAATGAGACCTGGGCCCAGGTGCTGTCCATGGTAGGGGCCGCTAGGCGCTCTGAGGGGCTAGACAGCCACTAGGGACCACTGTTTTCTTGGTCTTCTCAGGGGCACCGTCGCTGCAATTGGCCGCTAAACCACCTGTCGTGGTGTGCTGGGCCACCTTCCTTTCCAAAGGACGTGCGGTCACCGCAGTTTGGTTGGCTAGTCCATCCAATAAGAACTCTGCTAAGGTCCCGCTTCCATCATTTAATTCGGCTTTTTCAACAGGAGATGTGACCTGTTGGCTCCAGGTTCATCCTCTTGCTCCTCGGCGATGCTGACCATGACCAGCGGGCCCTTGAAATTCTTCAACTTGGCTTTTCTAGTGACTGGATACTCGCTGGGATTCGCTGTACTCGACACCCACATGCTCCCTGTAGCCGCCCGGTTCATTGGTCGAGCCCGTTGTCCTCCCCCTGCCAAGCCAGTCCTGGAAGTTCTTTGCCTCGATGAAGGGTAGACGACAACAAAGAACCGGCTCTGACTGATGGATGACCTTATCGATAAAGATGAGCTAGGAACCGAATGCCTCTCCTGCTGCTGGATTGGACTGGACTCTTTGTACTCATCTAAACGATGCTGAAAAGAGCCTAGAATTTCACGCGAGTGTGGCAAGCGATGGATCCATCGTTTTGGACGCCAATGCAAGGTACGAACGGTTATCACACACAAAAGGGACAAGTCCAAGCCCCCAATCCTAAGCTAACCCAATGCCACGACGCTTGCAAAGATGGAGCGAGACGCCTCAGCCGAATGCGCGTGATGACTTTGTTGGAACAACGCACGCATAGCCACTCTTCTTTCGTCGTCTTCCTTCAATGAATACGGGCATATATTAAGCAACGCAGCACACGCGTACATGCTTCTATTTACAGGAGGACGATCGCAAAAGGCAATCGGCTGAGCTCTGCTTCCAGCTGCAAGCCATACCCATGCTCGGGGGAAACGGCCGGGCACGCAATCGATTGTTCCTTGCATTTCGTTTCTTCTGGCCGCTTGTCCGCCTTCATTTTGGTAGGCCCTCTGAAGTGGCACCGGTATCTGTGCTTTTACTCCGTACTTAGCAACGATACCTGATTTGATCAGGAGACATATAGCTCTCCTTTCTCCTTCTCGTGCACTTGTCATTTACCTTGAGCTTCGACTGAGGTTTGGGTTTGAGGACTATTGCAATGGCTTTGATTTTATGGATATTACTCCAGTGTCCTGTCAAGCTGCTAGACAGAAACATAATTACCCTGGTGTCTCTCATTGTTTTCAACACACCATCCCGGATGTTTGTTTGCCAAGCGGAAGCTGTCACAGAAAACGGTTGCGTGACATACTGCGTATATCCCTCACTTAAAGACGTAAACTTGTTCTCGTTTATTTGCAGTATTGCGACGAAATAGTTAACAAACACAGGTACAGTCATAAGGACGCGCGGTCAATCGATCAAATAGCCTCATCTCTTAGTTACGCTATTAGCATGTTTACTATAGTTGTCTTAAGATTGGATCTTCCCAAAGTCTCGGATCTGTAGCTCCCTCGGCTTTGTCTTTCTATTTCGTCCAAGTGCCGCTATCCTCAGGTAGGGAAGTAAATATCATTTGTTTATCTCGCTTGATTAGTCACCTCACCAGTGTTATTTCTTTGGCAGACAGCACCATGCACGACATGGATGCAATGTGCTCCAGGATACGGATACAGTCATGAAATACAGATTGGCAAACTCTACTCCGTACAGTATACACTCGTTCCTTTCAAGCACACCGTTGTCCAGCGATACCAAAACAGATGTCTCTGTGCATCGAATGATGGCCCCCTTAGCCATGGTAACCATCTGACAACAACGCTTTGACGCATGAACACCTCGACTATTTCCGAAGCCTGTGAACATTATGTTTTCAACAGCCTCATGCGAGAGTGATCGTTGCTGGGTCAGAAGAGCAGCATATTCTGAGCCGCTATTATCGGGTTCATGGAATGCATCATGGCGATGCTCTAAGCACAGGGTGAAACATTTCTGCACCACAACAAACAAATGGACTGGTCACGATTCACGAAGTTAGGCCAAGAATAGCACAAAATGTCTTTTCTAGATTCCACATGAGCTCATTTAGCTACTGAGAGGGATAGTCAGTGAGCTGGTCTTATTTGCGGTGGGGATTTTTTGCCCGGTGAAGAGTTGCTAAAGGTCTACACACCATGTCCCATGGGTAAACTAACCATCGCAGAAGTTCTAGACAGCATTAGTGACTAGACGAAGCTCTAAATATTTATGATCGAAATGAAGTATAGTTAACGGTCGGTATCATCATCGCCGACCGGAGTTTGTGTATACCTGGGTGATTCCCAGCTGAGGAAGTTTCATTCTGAGAACATTAGAATATCATCAGTTGCATATGCCCGATGAACTTACGCAAGTTTGCGGAATCAAATCAACTACCTATGTATAAAGATGCTTGTTGCCAAGATACGAAAATACTAAAGTCTCGTATCTAGATCTCCCCCTTGCATGGAGATTCAAAGGCCTCAGACTATTTCTATCGACCCATTTGACACAGGGACTAGACCTACGCTCATCTCTACCGTGGGGCGTTTGCTCGATTATACTAGAGCTGGACAACTTGGGGGAGAAACAAGATGCTCGATCGGTACCAGTGAATTCCACCAGACAACGCGGTGCTGAAGCTTTGGACGAGTGAAGGTTGGAGTATAGTTACAGTCACTGAGCTTCGGTCAGCAGTCATTTGCGGTGACTGAGAAGAGTATCAGCAAAACGAACCTAGCCAGACGGCTGCTCACAGGAGACTATGATGCTCCCTTTGGACGTATTTGAACCAAAAATCATGTAAAGGGTATTTATTCTCCATGGCTATTGGATGACTATTTTGATAGAACCAACTATCGTTCTCATTCGTGTACTTGCATCTATCGTGAGAACACATACCCTAGGTAGGTAAGGTACCTTAGGCATGCTCAGGCGCTTTGTGAGTCTATGCGTCATACAAGAGGTGCGTTGTTGTCGAAACTTGAGATGACTTGTGAACCCACATGCTTGAGTGACACGCGCCGAAAAAACAAAAATGAGAGGCCACAAATCAAGAAGGAGTTACGAATATGAACTCTCTTGTTGACACAGAAGCTCACCCAAAGTCAAACTCACAGAGCTTCCTCCCTGATTAGGATTTGATTATGCGGGTGATTGGCGAGCTAAGCTACGTTTGGGCTAGTTTAACGGGTTGAAAGACGATCTTGGTCTAGCCCTCAGGGGCCGCCCGAGCGCCCGTCTTGGCTTTCCTTGTGAGGCTTTAAGCCATGGGACATTAATCTCCAAAGTTGAAGATATCAAGGCAAATAATAATGACCTTTTTCGTGATGTTCATATGGCCATCTTGTTAGCCAGTCGATGAACGAAAGAAAAGCCTACTAAGAAATTTGAACAACTGGAATACTGGACTTGTTGGGTGAAGGAAATTTTGGCTGTTGGACCTCCTTTCAACCAAAGTATCTCAGCTCTGAGTCGCAAGTCACGATCCATTTTGATGTCACTCGCGTGCAAAAGCACAGTTCGTGCAACCGTCGGGAGATGCGAGGCCTCCTCATTGTGCCATGTAGCGAGGTAATACAGAGGAGATATGGAAACAGCCAGCCAAACTCTGGAGCGGTCCCTGTGGGTTGCAGCCCGGCCTCAGGTTCAACAATGAACAAAGGAGGCTGTCACAACGGTGAGATGGTCGGCGGAGCGATAGATGGACTGATAGGTAGGTAGGTATCAGTGCGTGGGTTATTAGAGGCCAAAAAAACTTGATGTCTTAGCTGTGCAATCATGATTTGGCTTACACAAGATACCTACCTACATACACCGACTAATAAAGAATGAATGGCGTTATGGGACTGGAGGGTGGTTGGCTGAGTGGTGACAATTTCATACGCCGACAATTCCATTGGGAAGGATATCCAGGCTGTCAACTGGCAGCAATAAAGAGCCTAGAGAGCCCTTGACTTCCCCTCTTTTGACAAACTATTTCCATCTCCTGAATCGACTACTTATCGAGGGGTTCTGAATTTTATCAACCTCCCTGATCCACCTCGAGCAATACGATCCCTCCCTGCACCAAGGAAGACCCTTGTCAACAACCCTCATTAAGCATATCCGTCCTCCCCTCTTTCTGATACAGCAAAAAG